TGAAGCCAGGAGTTTAAGACCAGCCTGAGCAACATGGCAAGACCCTATCACTACAAAAAAATTAAAAATTAGCTGAGTGCAATGGTGCATGCCTGTAGTCCCAGCTACTTAGGGAGCTGAGGCAAGAGGATGCTTGAGCCCAGGTATTTGAGGTTACAGAGAAGTATGATGAAGCCACTTCACTGCAGCCTGAGTAACATAGCAAAAAAAAACCCTGTCTCCATAAAAAATATGTATATGGATAATGCATATAACTGCAGACCAGCACCTTCTCAGCTCAAGCAGAGAGTAAACCATCTTTTGTTTTGTGACAACTATTTTCAGTGCTCCCCAAGTTTTTCCTAAATACTATTAGTATTCATCTTATTTGGGAACACTTTCCTTCCCCATCCTTTGATACTCAGGGAGTTGAGAACTCACAGTCCTTTTTTTTTTAAGCTGCAACATGTTTACAAATCTAAATGAAACTCTATTTCCAAGTCCAGTCTTTTGGTTTTAAGTGGCTTCCTCATTCTGTTGTCGCCTCCACCTGGGGAGCTCACTTCTCAACTTTCTGTTTTCTTTAGAGAGAGGAGGAATCTCCCCAGCCACCCATTGCTGGATTCCTGTTAACCTTTCATTAAGCCTGCTGACAGCTGGCTTCAGCTCTTTATGAGTTAGTTCAACACATTCCCATTTAAATGCGTCCCACCTGGCTTCATTAACGTTCCTGCCAGCTTCTCCCCTTGCAGCTTCCTCTGCAAATGCAAATGAGATTCTCAGTAAATAACGTGGGGACAAGGGAAGATTGAGCTATAAGGGGATTGGGATTGGAGCGCCACCCATACCCTCAGGTTGCCTGGACCTGAGGAGATTAAAATTCATTTGGGTCCACTGCATGCCAGTGCCACACTGCCATACGCATGAAGTCTTAAATTGGAGCTCTGTCTGTGAAGTACAGGGTAGTGGTGAGAGTGTGAGTCCTTCAGGCCTGCTTCAAGACCAGGAATACAGGAGGTTGGACTCTGTGACCTGGGGCAAGTTCCTTCACCTGCCTCTATTTCCATTAGCTCCAAAGCAGGAATAATATACCTGCTGCTGTGAGGATTCAATGAGATAATTGCCTTGAAACACTCAGTAGTGTACCCAGGGCTCAGTAAATGCTCATTACAGATTGAACGTTGTCTATTTCATTCAGCCTAGAAAGGGCAAGGTCAAGGTTGAGGAATTGAGCTGTTTTAAATCCTCAGCATTTGATTGTGGACCCACCATGTAAACATCAGCTCTAAGAACAAAGAACTACATCTTTCCTTGTGGAAATGGAAAAACAACATTGATTTCATTTCATTGCATTTCCCATGTGAGTTTTGTCTCCTTTAGATTTTGAGCTCCTTCAGGGAGGCAATACTCTCTTCTGCCCACCCTCACCCCCCAACACACAGTAGATAGTAGAAAGTTATTTGTAGTGGCTACCAATTCATCATGATTACACAAAGAGGGAATGAGAACAACTAAAGCAACAACTCCTCTGCTCTGTATAAGAATTATGTGTTTATTCATAATTTTGTAAAATCCACACTCTACCCTCATTCTCAAATTGGCTGCCTTATTTGAGCCCACAATCATGTTGTTTAATGTGCTTGCTCAGGTCATCATTTTAACTAATTTTGAATTGCAATGCCTCTAAGTAGGTGCACGCACACTCCAATTTATCACAGGCCACACACACCATGTGTCACTCAGCTGTACCAAACACCTGACCCCAACTTCTAGGTAAGTCCAAGGGCAGAAGGTAGAAAGGGCTGGAAGTCAGGAGATAGGAATCTGAGATCTGCATTGAGAGAAAATGTCTCTGCCATAGTATGAAGAATTACAGAGGGAAAAGAGTAATATTGTTGATGACCACTAGGAAGCTACTGCAGGGGTCCAGGCAGACAGTGACACCTGGTTAAATGGGGTAAAGAACCAGGGGCTTATCTGTTGGTAATGGAAGCTCCTGATCACTATGTGGCCAACCCCATCCCCATACAACCCTGGCAAAGGGAGAATCTTTTCTTGAAATTTCAATCCACCTATTAGGAATTACTAGACTGTAATATTTCTTACATCCCCACATGCACCACAGTCTCCTAGAGGGCTTGTTAAAACATAGATTGCTGGGCTCCACCCCCAGAGTTTTTGATTCAGTGAGAGTGAGGCCAACAATTTACATTTCTAGCCAGTTCCAGACTGGCTGAGGCTGCTGCAGGTTAGAACCACTTTGGGACATTGTGTGTATGTGTGTGCATGTGTGTATGTGTGTGTGTGTGTGTGTGTGTGTGTTTGCATTTAAATATTTTACTTAAAATTATTTGAACCTTTACCTTGTTAAATTATAAAAATTGAAGGTTTATACTTTTGGCTTCATTTTGTTTCTTTTGTCCTTTATTAAATCATAACTGTGTACATTAATGCATTTATGGGGTACAATGTGCTGATTTGATATACAATGTGGAACACTTACATCTAACTGATTAACATTACCATCTCCTCACTAAATTCAGGTGTAACAGAGAAAATAAATGGCCTGTAAAAAGGTAAAAATGTTTCCTGTGTCTTCAAAACTTCCTTACCCTTTTTGAGAACTAAAATCTATATCCCTGCCTCAGGCTGGTGGTCAGGAGGGGCAGGGGAGTGCACTTTGTCCTTTGTGCCACAGAAGATGGGATGAATCCAGATGGAGGTCATGAGATTGTCTTAGCTGAAGATAGGATCAGAACCATCCCCTCTAAAAGCTCTGTATTTCTACTCAGAAGGAGGACACTGGTACTTTAAGATAGAAGTATGCTGGCCTCTTCATTTGCCAGCAAATTAAGAAACTCTTTCCTCTGCCTCAAACCACTGGTCTGGTTCTTCTAATGCAGCCTTGGGAACAAGTGCCAAGCTTCAAATAATGCAGGTGGCCAAGCTATACTCAAGATCAATTATAAAACAATCTTAAAGAGTAGGACTCAGGAATTGGCATTTTAAAAAACTCCCCAGTTGATCATGATATTCAGCTAGCTAACACTGAGAACTCCTAGGACAGAGGATCTTGGACACCACTGCAGTACTAACACGTTAGGATTGCTCATGCCAATGGTTCTTATCTGGACAAAAATTTTCAGAAATATATTTGGGAAAATGATTGAAAATGGCCCCCTTAAAAAACAGAAAAATATTCACTGAGTTTGACTGTTCCCTTGAGGAGGTATTTTCTGTGATCTTTCCCTAGTCAAACTGCAGTTAGTAGTGACATTGATGGTGGTGGTGGTGATGTGGTGGTGCAATAGGGAACCTGAAAGCTGAGTTAGGGTGGAGTATACCATTGGCTCACAAAATACTACAATCTGACTACATGCACAAAGTCACCTGGCTCTATTCTGTTTTCCATATGGGGATATTGAAGCTCACAACCTGAATCTGGATTCAATTTCTAAATAAATGTTTGAATTTACCACACTAGTCAAAGTTATTTCCAGTATCTTAAGCTAACATCAAACAAGACAAACCTAAAAACAAAGAAAAAACCCAAAGAAGCAGCTTCCAATCTGTTACTAGGTATTTCTATCACTTGGGCCAAGCCGTTCAATCTGCCCAATAGTAACAGAATAAACCAGAAGGCAGGCTGCCCCCAGCCAATTGTTTTCCAGGTGCCAGGGTGAAAAGGATTATTATTAACTGCTAGAACAGTGTAGTGTGAATGAACAGGGCAAGCAAAGGAATCTATAGACTGCACCAGTCAAATAATAAGACTGATTATTTTTCTCTCTTAAAGGTAATATCAGGAGAGTAAAAATCCAAAAGATAGTTAACCCCAAGGATCATGTGCTCATCCCGTTAATACTGCTATTGGTCTTAATGTGTGGGGAATTGTTTCAGAGAAATGTCTTTCAGATCTGGTTTGCTTTTCACATTTCTGCCCAACCAGAACCCTCTCACACTAAGGCAGACATTTTTTCTATTCATTCATTCAACAACTGTTTGCCTTCATTGCTCTCCTAGGGTCCCTCATGCTAGTAGTTATTAAAGTTTTAAAGTAAACCTGTTCTTATTGAAGAGAAAATTTCCATGTATTTAGAGAAGATTATTTGGATTGCCTTACTATCACATCCAAGCACTGCCACTGGTTGAATGTCCCTGTCATTCACTACATTTTTCTCCCTTAGTCTTTTGGCTAGTTCCAAAATTAAATTCTCCAGGCAAGAATTAAGATGTGACACTGTGGTCACCTCTAAAAACACCTAAATGTGAAAAGAAAATAACAGACAATTTGGGACTTTTAGAAGTGAATCAATATTTTTTTTTTTTTTTTTT